TAGGCCAACCTCTAATTTATTCCTAATTGCTACATTTTCCAATTACTTTCCAAGTCGATAAGTCCAAATAATTTCATTTTACATGTAAGGAATAATACACTTTAGTGCTACATTTGCGCAACTAAGGAAATAAGACATAAGAACTAATCTTCGTTCAAAGTACAACCTTTTGATCCCTATAATTAATTTCTACATTGATAAATTTAAATTCAAAGCCAAGCTACTGGCAGTGAACCTAAGTAAAACTCTAGTGTCCCTACCTGATTAAAACTTTGACTGATAAAAATCAATCCAGTGATATCAGTCTCCAGTGATATCAGTGTGCCTCTATAAAATATTAAGTTGAATCGAAAGGAGAAAAATATACTGAGAAGGTCGATTAAATATTAAAACCGCCTATTGACAGAGACTACTTCATAATTATATACTTTCCAGTACAGATGGATTATCCCAATATTTTCCAAGAAGCATGGGTCATCTTTAGTTAACTTTAAATTATCAAAAGAAAAGAGAGTAGGCCTGTTAGTTAATTGGCTCTGAAGCTACCAAATTTATGAAAGCGATTCTTAAAATAAGCGTTTTTCGAGCGATCTATCATGCCCTGAGGCCCATGAATTAGTTAGCTCCTCCAACTTTATGAAAGCATATTAATAATGTTCGAAGCAATCTATTACTCCCGGGGTCGACGAAACTCTGCCGGGTAATTTGTTATCTGACGGTATTGTTAGCACACAATGTCAAGCTGAGATTTTAATTTGTGTTTTTCCTCACACTACCATAACAAAGCTTAACACCCAAGGAAATGCGTGTAGTAAAAGCGTATTCTCTTAGAACCGATATTTATGGATTTGGTAGTTTCACAAGATTGAAACAGCTGTAGGGCATTCTGTTTTATTTTGACAAGTCCCGGGATCTTCACATCGAGCTTCGCTTGCAGAAATCCCATTGAATGACAAGCACTTTGTTGAAGTTAAAATTCCAGTTTAAACCACTCTTGCAGTAACTTTCATATTTTCAGTCGTTTAACTTCCTTTTATTGTTTCATGCTTTTATTTCACTCCAGCATTTCCCACTGGAAACGAGAGGGAAATTGAGGCGATTCGAATCCCACTGTCTCTTGCATTGCATGCGGGGACAAAACAAAAGGTCCACAGTGACGGTTTCATCCGCGGGGGGGCAGGGGGAATGGTGCTCAGCAAAGTTTTGTGCGGGGAGGCTCCACCCCGAGGTCCAACCCCTTACGCTTTTGTATACCACTTTGACAGGAAGTACCCCTTTTATATATCTTTTATAGAAAAAAAGGAACCCCTTTCACATACCTACTTAAGGTCAAGTAAAAGAAAAATGTTTCTTGTCCGGAATTCTATAAAAAAGAGACCGGCCGGGCGCTTTTTTAATTTTTTTATTTCCCACTTTTGTATTATTTCAAGTTGAATGCTTTCTTTACACATTATTACCCAGGGACAAGTTGGAGTTCTTAGGTCAAATATTAATAAAATAAAACGTCAGATATTGATAAAACACAAGTTTGTTTGATTTTGATACATGTTTTAAACAACAACGTGATGCATCATTCGATATGAGGAAAACTATTGAGCATTTTAACAGTCGAACTTGCACGTGGTTTGTAAGCTGCACTTTGAACTCGCAACTATTATGTATGTAAAGTTTAAATCGAGATGCAAACCTAGTGCAAGAGTTGGAGGTCGAATCGAACTGCTATTATAAATCTGGAACATGATATATAGTTCAAGTGGATCTTATAAATATTTCATGGCACAGAATATTTTTATAAAGCTGGTTGCAAAATAAATCCTGCAAGGTAATCGACCTATCCACTACGAATCTAGCATACCAAGGCTTTAATTTTTTATTATAATAGAAACATTACTTACAATTCATTTTTAAAATATATGTACTACATGCATTACTCACAGTAACTTTACGATTAATGCTACATTATTTTCATACTACATCAATTACAATTCTAAATACTACATTACCACATCACTACGTAACTACATTACTACATTCCTGTATTACTACATTGCTAATTTTTCGTGATATATGTGGAAAGGCCAAGTCTCAGATAATCCTGGAGAGCAAGCAACTAACAAGCCCTCCCCTGGCCCATGGACGCTCCCCTCCGTAAGCTAAGACCGAGGGTGGGTGGGCGGAGGGACTCGAATACAAAAAAGACGGGGTGCTCGTCGTATCTTTTAGGGATTAAAAAAGTGGTTTTGGTAGCTCCTAGGGTGTTCAGCCTGTAAAGGTCCACAGCAGAAGCTTGTGTGTTCCCAGTTAGGATATTGAGCCTAAAAAATTTGACAGGAGATAATGTGTTGTTTAGAATTGGTACCCTTAGGGCTCAAAAAAAAAAAAACATTCAAGCCAAGCCAACAGATCAGGATCTTGGAACCTATTAGGAGTTCTTTTCAAAATTTTCGACAAGAACCCCCGTCTTTATTATATGAGAGTCGCCCCACGGGAAGGTAAGCTGTTGACCAAATGTAATTTTCACAACAGATAAGAGGACAAACCCGCTTAGATAAAACAAGAATTAAGGATCTTTATTTGGCATATTATATTTTGCTTTAGAAGTAAATTTAGAGGATGTAAGTAAAGATACCCTTATTAGCATGCCTTCCAATCCACTCGGCTTGCCGAACATAATTCGAAGAAGCCGCATTCCGTAATTTAAAACATAAATCAAGAAAACAACCGAAGCAATTATAAGCTAAACATTCCGAACATAACTCGTAAGAGTCGAACATAATTTACAAACGTTTTAATAGTATTCTATAATAAGTTCAAACTTCCGAACATGATTCAAAAGAGCGGAAGATAATTCGATCAAAAGTTCGAACAGAATTCATCAGTGTGGCCGAATAAAATACGAAACACCGTAACATAATTTGCATTAAATTTTGCCCCAAATAACGCTTCGTAATAAATAACGTTTTTGGCATTTGTTATATCCCGTGTTATACTACATGACGTAGGACTATGCTATATCGTGTGTTGTATTACATGAGGTAGGATGCCTAAAATAAATCATTCCATGTGTTTCCTTTTTCGTGGTTCTTCTACTGTTACTCGGGGTCGATCTTAACAGTAGTGAACGAGTGAAAACTATACTTTTTCTTGGCCATCCGTTTTCATAACGGTGATCGTAATGTGTTTGATGCCTACACTCTCCCTTGCATGTTTTTTATAAACCTCCAGAGTAAGACCATGGCTTAGCATCAATTGTTTCGTGTACTTGGCTGTCTTAATGAAGCCTCCGCCATGCGGAGTGAAACACGAGCCCCATGGCTGATCTAGTTTGAGAGTGAAGACAAACTGCGGAGGATAGAAACTTGCACCTGGAAGAGGAATTTTCTTATCAAAAGTATTTACGGCAGTCAGAACTTCCCCAGATTTTGCCTCCGCCCCGCTACAAGGAGCCCATGATGGATAATTTGCTCTGTCAACTGCTTCAAACCCGATGAAGTTGTTTCCGTCCGACACGCCATATGTGATGTCACTATCACTGCCTGGTGTTTGTCCGATACTGACATCATTAGCCACTGTTATTTCAACAGTCAGCGGAGTTCCATCCCCCAAGACATCAGCTGCTAGTAAGGGAACTTTTAAAAGCGCTGCACCGAAGAGTGAGCCTCCGTTGAACGTTATCTGGTCAGCGGTTGTGTCTCGATTGCTACTGATGTAGGACGCGTGTGTCTCGAGCCACAATGGTGTCATGAAGTACTCTTTAAAAGCAGCCTGGGAATAAAAGAGTTGTTCTAACGACTTATCCATAATCATGGGTCTTCAAGGTACTCTACGTTAAAAGCTGTTAAACTGAATCAACCCCCCCTCCCCCGCCTTGTCCTCCCCCCAACTTGCCTTGGCTTAACGCAATGTTCAATTGTGATGACAAGATTGAAAATAGAAGCATAACGGAGACAAACCTTGACGGGGTAATCACTGTAGGCTTGGTCCTTTATCAGCACATAATCCCAGGGGTGTGTGTATCGATCTGCATCATTCAGCTCACAAATAAAGTCACCAAAGTGGAAATTGATGCTCATGCAGCGTTGATCCATCGAGCATTGGATGTAGCACACGCCAATATTTTTCACATTTTCTGACGAAATCACATGACCTTTGAGGTAACGCCCCCACACCGAGTATGTGGCTTTGCATTGTTTTGTTGAATGGACGACAGCCAGAAACGACATTGATAGCAGAAGCCAAAACATTTCTGTAAAAGTGTAAAACATGATTTAGTGAGAAGTTTGAAGTTGGTCATTCCGTGTACCATCGTTGTTCTCTATGGTAAATGACTTGTGATCTTTCGACTAGCAAGATTATCGATAATGTGTATATATGTTTCAGGAGCGGATCCAGGATTTTGCTCAGGACGGGGTGCACCACTAAGGAATGGCGTAACTGACTGGTGAGGTAAACAAATATTAAAAGCGAATACGAAGGAGAAGGCTTCATCTCGGGGGTGGAGGATACACACCCCATGCACCCTCCCCCTAGATCCGCCCCTGTGATTCGTAAGTTCAATGCAGGGTTATGCAGTAGTCAGTCAAACCGGTTTTACTTAAAACGTACCTGGTTTTTGCTGGCATTATCTAGACTTCTAAAATTGCGTCAAACGAGGCATGAAATACTATTCTTTATTTCTACGCCTACGTTTTCGGTCCGTACGCAGAACCTGTTTTGTACAGATCCGCGCGGAGTTTGATAAACTAGCTTCTGTCACTTGGTCGCGCGGTATATTACAAGTTCTGCTCTGCAGCACATTTCCCTTGGGGTCAACTAGTTCTTTTTCAGAAAGCTGTAAGACTCAGTATTTATCATTTCTTCCTAAACATAATAAAATAACCTACCAGTCTGAAGTTTCGGCTTACAAAATTGCATCCCACGAAATAAGAAGTAGTTAACGATCGACAAGAAGGCAAACAGATATTATCTGCAAAATGTAACGAACGTTAGCTGACAAAGGTGAAAAATATTGGAAGAGTTAATAAATATTTAAAGCAGAAACTTTGTTTACTTTAACAGAAATTTAATACATCAGCTACTGATTAGTTTTTTTTTTATCACCCACTCATTATGCAATATTTTATTCATGATCTTTTTATTGGTTTCTTACAAAACATAGCATTACTTATTCAACTCCGCTATTATACTGAAAGAGTTTTTAAATAAGGTAACTGACTTAATACAAGTTAGGTCAACTAATCAATCAAACTAAGCCATGTCAGGCTTTTGTTTCGAGTACAAGATAACAAAACAGAAAAGCAACCTGCAAATAACTGACTACAAATAATGGTCTGCTCATGCGTAGTACCGTCTAAATGTGTTTTGCTGCAAATGATATTCTGCTCGTGCGCAACTGTAACCACGCTCTTGTG